GCTCCTGTACGTGCGTACATATAACTTATTTATCTGTTATTTTATCCCGGAATAATTTGTAATTTGTGGTCTATCTCGGTAAAAACCGTAACTTTACATCAAAAATTTAGTCTTAATGCTGGTCAAGTTTATAATAATTCCGGACAGCATTAAATCTATATATTTGTAACTTACATAAGAGTCATAACTTTGCAATGTAAGTTACAATGTAGGTTATCCAAACCCTACCTGTACGTTATTTTGCAATTATACAGTAAGCGGATTTTAATAGATTTAGTAGATTTAATAAAAGATCTCAAATCTCAGCTTTAGCTGCCACGTTTATTGAGAATCATCTAAGAGAGAGAGTGAAAAGATAGGTTTAACTGAAGGTTTAACTTTGAATGGTCTTATGCCATTTGATTCGTAGAAATCTCAGTATAACTTTTATAAACGTTGCGCGTTTTGGTTAAGACTAAGGTGAAAATTTTCACGTGTAACAAATCGTGTAGAAAATGAGATAGATAAAATTTGAGTATAAATCTTTAAAACAAATAATGCATTTACACAAAGAACCTGAAACTTATTTTATGATGAGTAGGAATGTGCGTACATAAAACGTTAGATCCTTAACTTCTTTAAATACTGGTAGCATACAAACAAAAACTTATCGCATGATAATAAACAGCGAACAAATAAGCCACTATATAGTGTTTGAAATTGAAAAGACTTCAAATTTGTCTTTATTGTGTAAACACCCTTAAAAGATTAATAAGGAAGTTTTTACATGTCACAATAAGGATTAAAGAATCTGGGCTAGTTTGAGTGACACTTCCAGGTATATAATGATCTTATTATGCCTGAAAATCAACAAAAAATCCGATGTTATTCTGTTAGGATTTTCATAAAAAGAATTTGATTATCTTAACTATTGTTGTTGATCATAATTTTAGGTGCGTATATGGCGTTAATGGAATTATGACGACATTTATGCATCTCACATAAATACATAAATCTAGTTATTAACGGATCAAGACTTAAAAAAATATATTTATTATTTCTTATACTCTCACTTTTCTAACAAAAAAAAATTCATCGTAATGGGTTGGTTTTATTTAATTAAATTTAACTTTCCATATGCGTCAAATCCTATTAACATGAAATTAAATGACAGCTGAAGTTAAAAAAATCCTCACATTTTCTAAAGACACACCTGATGACGTTGTTAACAAAGCAAAAGAAAAGATTAAAGCTTCAGGTACTATGTTTATACGTAAAGATTCGAAAACATCAGATCGATCTTAATACTCGCATATTTTTGCACACTTAAAGGCGGTGTAGTCACTAATGAAACTAAACTTGGGGGAAGAATGATTATGTATACAATTTCCAAAGACACCATCAGTAATATTTTTAATTCATGTACTTTTTTTTTTTTTCACTATTCATAATTTACATTAACTTTTGACTTCATTTTACTTAGCCACTTTTTCCACCGATTCCGAATTTAACAAACATTTTGTCGCAGACGAATTTGACGGCGTGGTCACTACACAATAACGATTCTTCGAATGTTATATTTATAACAACTGTAAAGATAATGATGACTAAAAGTCTCGGTTAAATTTATTGAAGAGCAATGTTACACGAAATAAACATAAATTCATATTTTGCAATTTAATATTACTTCGTTGTCCAAATTAATATATGAATAATTCAAAAATATTTATTTACTTTTTAAATCTCTATGTCGATTTTAAGCCTTAAAATCGGCTGGTCTTTATCTAATACTGTTTCAGTTATTTCAAGTCGATTCAATAAAGTAATTGCTGTTTGAAGCCTATGAAGTCGTTCTTGCTCTGATGGAAATTCCTAAATAAAAGTATTTAATACTAATTATGGCAGGAATATGAATGTTAAATATTTAAATGATTGTGCAACCTTTCCCAGTTCTTTTATATATATTTCATTTTTTTCAGCTTGAAGTAGATTTTCCACAAGTGTTGCGATTGTAATACCGACATTAGCAGTCGGAAAGAATAATTTTGATAATATTTTCATATTTTCCACCCCTTTGTGTATATTTTCCATAGCTTGCGAAACCTCTAACGATAAGCTTTGTTGTTCATCCAAAATTTCGCGTTTTTCCCCAATTAGGATGTCTATATCTCTAATTTGTTCCTCTACAGCCGCCAACGCATTAGCACTTAAGGACTGGTTATTTTCAAATAATGACATTTAGTCATTTATTTCCCATTTGTGAATGAATGTCAATTAGATATTAGATATACCTTTCTTCTGGTAGATTTTTTTGGTGTCTTAATAGCAGATGGTCTTTTTTCAGTTGCAACCCTTTGCTTTTGGAGTTGAAGTTCTGCTTCCTATATAAAGGATTTTAAATGAGAATAAAGTATTATTAAATTACTTAGACATTCTACAAGATTTTCTATCCTATTACTACTAACTTTCCTTCTGATTATATTCTTCCTCTAACTGGGTCACAACTTTCGCCATCCTTTCTACCTTTTTCTTTACTTCTTTCAGTTTTTTTACTTGATCTTGACTTTGAAAACGTATTTGTCCTGATTGCCTCATTGAAGATTTAGCATTCCCACTTTTGTTAGTTGAATATTGCAGAGAGTCTAACTGTGCCTTTTTCAGCTCCGCGTCCAATTCGCATTCACGTTGATCCGCCTAGAAAAAAATATATAGCAAAAATGACGGAAAACTAAAATTAATATTGTAAGCTAGAATTCTTTTAAGTAAATAAAATCGATCTCACGCATGTTAAAACATGTGTAAACACCTCTTCTTGAAGCATATCTTCTCTTTTTTTTAATTCTTTTATCATGTCTTCTGCTTTTGATAAGAGGTTATGAACCCGCGGCTCAAGCTGAACTGCTAAAGAGCTTTGAGCTTCGCGTATTTCACCTTCCGTTACGAGTTCAAAGACCTTTCGAGTATAATAATTTTGATTAAGTTTCGTACATTTCATAAATTCCTTAGCTTATTATATTGACATACTCTTTTGCAGCAGATAAGTTTCTTTATTCTGGTGAAGCTACTTAGCTCCATTTTATATACCGAAGATTGAAGCTATACATATTAGAAAATATAAAAGTTTCAATTGTTAGCAAGTATAAATGTTTCATAAATTAGTAAAATCGGCTACCTTCACCGAACTGTCCTGCAAGCGTTGGACACATTCTCGAAGGCTGTGGAGATAATGATAATTTGCTGGAATGTTGGGCGGGGTTGAAGTTGTAACTCTCCTTGGAGTCATTATTGCTATGTAAGTTATTAATCTTTAATCTTTATTTAATAAAATAAACATTACGCGAGTAAGTCTACAGACACGTGAAATTTGAACAGTGCCTGGTTTGCAGATCCCCGGTGCAGGGCCGATGATTTTCTGCGCCGATTCCGTCCGTGACAAAATCAAATTCTGCAAAATTCCGTGCATTAACTCTGCGTAAATTCTGCGTTGGTTATTCATGAATTACCATTATTATCCGATATAGCTTTGGATTATATTTGGTTACCTATATCTAGTTGTAGTGTTGAGCGTAGCTTTTCTATTTATAATAATATTTTAGCTAGCGATAGACAAAATCTTTCTGAGACTTCGCTTAAAACATTAAATATGATGTACTTTAATAAATAAAAATGTAAATTTTATTGATATTTTAAAATCGCAGAATTTCTGCAAAAAGACTATAATTCACGTGATTTCTGCTGCATTCTGCAATAATGATAACATGATTATATCATATAATTGAAACTTTTTAAAAATTCATCAAACATTCGAACATCGGTCAATTTTTTTACCGATGCTCGAAATTCTAGAGTTTGTGATCAATCAATGCTCGAAACTCATTGATCCCTTTTATTAATTTTTCTTTTTTACGAGAGGGAATAATTTGAGGAACATGGTTTTCCTTTACTTTATTTAAAATAGTGCGTAACTTTTTTAGTTCAATCAGACTCACTTAACTTACGCTGTTTGACAAATTCGACTTGAATGCGGATCATAGAGCCACTTTTAATACGTTACAGTTATTATCATACAAGAAGGAAGTCAGTCGTGAGATTGAAAGCAATTTTTGATACGCAATATCTTGGAATAAATTTATCCAAAGTACGATATTGGGATCTGGCATTTTGGCAATTATTTTGATTTCTTGCAAGAAAATATCAACTTCTCATTCTGCTCAACTGAACCATTAACTTCATTCTGCTCAACCGAAAAATCAACACTTCTTCATTTTGTATGACTGATTCACTTGTAAAATACGAACCTATTTATTAGTTCAACAATAAAAAAAAAAAACATACTTTGAAGCTACTTCCAGTAATTCTGATTCTTGAATGGTCTTGCGAAAGAGAACTAGGTGTAACGAAGCATAAAGGGAATCGACTTGACCTAACAAAATAATAATACTAATAATAAATAAATAAGAGCAGGTAAATTGTAAAAAATTAATTAATCGATAATTGTATGTATCGATATTATTAAAAAAAAAGAATCCAAATGTAGAAAAAATTTTTTTGGTTGCTAACTCCGTATACTAACGCGCATTTTTTGTCGTTATGCTCAAAATATCGTTATGTTGTTAACATTGAGCAGAAAGAGTATGGAAAAATCCAATAAAGGCGATATTTTGGAAATGTTAATTATAGTACTGTAATAAATAGTTAATTATATATATTAGTATTATTTAGCAACTTAGCAGTACGTAACATTTATTTTCAATATCACTAATTAGCAAACCAGCATTTATAACAGTATTGTATCAGGTACGATTTCTGAAAGCTATTTCCCAAAAGAACATTGTACTGTCTAATTATTTTCTTTCGGGAAAATGACTTTTGAGAACTTGAGTTACATTATCATCGGATTAGTATTAATAACAATCTATTAATTTAATCAAGTGAACTTGATGTTATTTATTAAACCAGTTCCGCTCACTTCACTGATGCTCCTTTTATAGACACAAGACTTCACCAAAAAGTTTATTTTAAAGTTAAAAAATTATTGTGAAATAAATTACAAAAAAAGTAAATATTTGTTTTGTGTAATTTGGATTAATAATTTGTGTATATTTAATTTGTTTAAAGTATTAGAAAATGTGGGTGATATGATTATAGGCTAGGGTAGGTTGTATGAAAAACGCCTATAGGGTTTTTTGCAAAAAAGAAAAAGGAAAAAAAAAAAGAAGAAAAGAGAAAAGAGTTGTAGAAATAATTTGGTTAGATCTTTGTTAGTTTTGATGCTACTGATATGAGCTAAATGAGAAAAATGAGCTCTTGAACTTTTTCTATACTTGAGAAATGGATTATGAAGATAGTTTTGGCGTAAATTACAGTTTTGTAATTTAAAGACCAGAAGGCCTTTATTTTAATGCTTGTAGTTTGGAACTTTAATATTATATATATTTTTATATTTATTTAAGAACAAAAGTAAAGTTTATTTAGTAAAAATAAAAGTTATTTGCACATCGTAAATGTGTACAAGGTTATGTCGATCACCGAATTGAAAAAACTTAAGTGCAAATTTTAATTTACTTTATATTCAATATTTAAGTGTACCCATATACCTAAAATTTCGTGCTGAAAACTTTTGCTTAGAA